TATTTTATTATTATTATTATTATTATTATTATTATTATTATTATTAAATGATTATAATAAATTTTCTTTTCTCCTTTCGCCGTTTGCTTCATTTGTTTGTCGGTACTTTGTGAACTTACTAATGAGCGATCTCGTTCTCTCGTCTATTGTTGCGGTTTATTGTCTCTACTTATTAGAATTTTTGCCGCAGCTATCTTTATTGATACTTTTACAAACAACCATCACTTTAATTTGGGAATAAATTGCATGTAAGATTCAAAAAAAAAAAAAAAAAAAAGCATGGCTGAGTTTAAATATGCCTGTCTCTATACTCTATGAGATTTCGTAGAAAATGAGTGTATCATGGATATCAATCGCAAAGAGAATTGCTACTGTTAGGTTTAGAATTCAAGGTTTTGAACGTAAATTTCAGGACAAAACTAACACTAGGAAGCAAGTAAATAGTACTGTCGTCATCCACGTATTCATCTTTGAAAGCCTCAGTTTTAAAAAAAATTGTTTTTAAGAGGTTTTCTTGGCTGCTGGTATAATATCAACTTGTTATTGATGGCATCTTGAGGATGTTTTGGGAAAAAAATGTAATATTATCAAGAAATTTCACGAAAGGTCCAGAGGATCTCCAGACAACGTCAAGGTTCTTTTTCGATACGATGTTTCTCGAATTTTAGTTTCCTTTAGATCATAATCAGTACAAAAGTGTTTACAATTCTCCGTTCTCTTGCTTTTCTCTAAGGCCCCGTCCACGCGTTTTCGGAAATGTTTTTGTACGGATACGGGTTGCGTCCACACGTGCCCGTAAATTTTTGTGTCGGTATCCGCAATACACCGATCCCGCTTGTCAATCTCCGTTGTAAAAGTAGCCAATCAGAAGTCAAACTTTGAAAACGCCATTTCCGGTTTTAGACGACGCCATTTTGTCGGACAAGTTATCAAGGTCTGTGGAGGTTGATACCTTTTGTATCTGAGTAATATTTTCAGTAAATATTGCTTTGAGGCTTGCTATTGAAAGTTTTTAAGTTCCGAAAAATAACTAGAAGTATGGTCAAGCACTGCTGCTATGGTACTTGTAAATCTGATTCACGGAAAAGTGATATATCCGTCGTGTTTTTCCCCTTCCCAAAACCCAAAACAAGGCATGAAGACTGCCTTC